AACAAAAGACCCCAGCCTCCCTTTCCCGTCTCTGGATACTCAACAGCCATTGGTTGAGCTCCTGTCTTAGGATGGTGAGGCCTCCCAGTTAGGGGCAAGGGTCTTGAAGTGTTCTCTTACCCGTCATTGACTATCCGGCTTAGCGCGTAAGTTAAGGGTTAATCCTCGTCAGTCTTGATGACAGAGGTTTTAGTCCCCCACTTCCAGCCTGTAATAATGGACCTGTATGGGTTTCATTTGTGTAACGTCTATCTGTTGTAGTACAAAAGCCATCAGTTTGTTGAGCAGCATGAACCCGAGAGACAAGAGACTTAGCAATGTCTGAATAGTTAGTGCAAATGCAACACTCTTTTTAAGGGTAGCACATAACTTCTTCTGTTGGAGGAGTAAAAAGTATAAGCCTCTTTTATTCTATAACACTATTTTCTAAATCTAATCTATGTAAGTACAGAACTGATCATAGCTTTGATCTTAACAAAACAAGTAAGAAAATCTCTATTCCTGCCCTAATCAATCTCAAACCTAAAACACAACTATAGTAACTATGCTAATGGATTCTCTCTTGGGTTTAAACAATGTACCACTAAATCATAAATCAGGGAACCAAGAGTCTAATAGAGCCACCCTGGAGGCGTGGGTGGTGATGTCTTCTTCCGCACTGAGAAGAGCCACCCTGGAGGTGCGGGTGGTGATGTCTTCTTCCGCACTGAGAACTTCCCAAGTCAGGTATACTGGTTGATTCGCTCCAGTGAAGCATCTTCATGTTTCCTATAAAGGAAAAATACGCTTCTCAGGGGGTTTCTCCTCCCTGGATTTGTTATTATTGTCTATTTGTTTGATCAGTCTCTCTGGCAGCCATCGTGTGGCATCTGCCGTTTGGGAATATATGCAGACAGAACCTCTTCCCCAGATAAGCACTGGATCTGGCCCATTCCAGGTTCCAGTTAATGGGTCTTTCCAGAGGACTGTTGCAAAATTCTTTTTGGTATTAGGATGCCAGAATCTATCTGCAGAAGATTTTCCTTCAGAATCCAAAGATTTGTGATTAGTAGGAATCAATGGAAGTAACAATAGTTGAGCTATCCTCCTTCCTGTAGGAATAGTGACTATATTCTGTATTGCCTTGGCCATTACCTTAATCTCACCTTGATAATCATTGTCTATAACTCCAGGAAAAATTTGTAGTTCTTGTATAGTAGCACTGCTTCTCCCCACTATCAGGCCAAACACATTTGGATAGAGTGGTCCAAACACTCCAGTGGGTAAGGCCTGAGGTCCCATTTCTGGGGTTAATACTGTGTGGGTGGCAGAACTGAGGTCCAGTCCTGCACTTCCTGGTGTTGCTCGACTAAGTTCTGAAAGGGGTTGTTGTTTGTTGGTATGAAACTGACTGCCCCATAAGCCTGTTTTGGCTTGTATTGGTTCGGGGCCTGGGGCTGGCCCCTGTTCCCGTTTCCCTGATTATAGGAAAGGGTGTTTCCTTGTGCATCTGTCTTGGACCTACATTCATTAGCCCAATGCCTTCCACGTTTGCAACGTGGGCATAGCCCAGGCTGTTTTCTGGGATGTCTGTGGGTTAACTCATTTTCTGCTTTGCAATATTTTGAAAAGTGTCCAGGCTTGCCACATTTAAAACAGGCCTTTTTGTCTCTACTTGCCAAAAAGTCTCTTACTGATTGTCCTTGCATGGCGGCTGCCATAGCTAAGCCCTGTTGGTAGGAGGGCCCTATATCAGAACAGAGTCTGATATACCCAGTAAGATCTGTCTTTTTCCTATAGGGTCTAATGGCTGCTTGGCAGGCAGAATTGGCATTTTCATATGCAAGTTGTTTCACATAATCTATACCTGCCTCTACATTACCAAAAATCCTCCCTGCTGTTGTCATTAATCGATGAACAAAATCAGAAAATCGTTCATCAGGCCCTTGTCTGACAGAGGTCAAAGATGCACCAGGGTCTCCCTTTACTGGGAGTTTGCGCCAAGCCTTCGTGGCCGCATTTTGAATTTGAGCGAATAAGCCTGGGTCATATTGCATCTGGTTATCACTAGAAGCAAATTGCCCTTCTCCTACTAAGGCATCAAAGGACCAACCATTACCTGCCTGAATGTTTCTCCTAGCTGTCTCTTTACAATTCTCATGATACTCTGATTTCCAAATAAGATGGTCACCACCGCTAAGAACTGCTCTCACTAGAGTATCCCAATCACCAGGAGTCAGCCACTCCTCTGCAACAGATTCTAATATTGCAAGAGTAAAGGGAGCCGTGGCACCGTATTGTGACACTGAATTTTTTAATTCTTTAATAATTTGAAAGTTAAACCCTGTGTGATGTCTCCACGCAACTCCTTGAGCATCTCTAGTCTCTGATACAGGGAAAACCTTAACCTCTCTCTCCTCTGGCTGATCTGTGGCTGAACTGAAACCAGAGGACAGGGGCTGTCTTTGGACTCCAGGTTGAGGAACTCGAGGACCTGAGGAATTTTCCTTGCCCTCTCGAGACCTCTTCCCTGTCTTTAATTTTTGTATCTGATTAATTAAGTCCTGATACTCTTCCTCTAACTCTATTTGTTGTTTAAGGAGAGAAATTTGTTGTTTAAGAAAAGAAATTTTCCTGCAACTCCTTTCTGTGATCTTCGACCACCATCTCCATAGCAGGAGCATCTGGAGGTGGAGGAGCACAGGGAGGGGGCCTTCGGGAAGAAGGCCATTCAGGATCAAAATATTTGGCTGCCTCTTCCTCTAGGTCAGCACAATCTGGCTCTGACAAATTGATTACTTCAACCTTTGGTCCTATTTTGGATTCTATGTGTTTCTTTTTCTTTTGGGCATGAAAGGCAACATTTAAACAGCGAAACAAAAGCAGACAATTGATACACGTAAACAGCAAGCAACAGAACAAAACCACAGAGTTGAGTTCAGGCTGACTTATTTCTTTCCCCATTATTACTATGACTTACTGGTCTCCACACGGCAGTTTCCTGCGGCAATCACCTCTGTTTCACCTCTGAATTTTCAGTCGATCCTTCTTCCAGTAAGGTCCCTCACTGGGTCTCTGGTTCTTGCTGCCCCACGTTGGGCGCCACTTTGTAACGGCCGTTTCTTTTGTAACGGCCGTCAGGTTCTGCTACTTTGTAAAGGCCGGCCGGTTCTGCTGCTCCAGTCGGCAGGTCAGGGTCTAGCAAGAGAGAGAGTGGGGACGGAGGAAGGGGAAAAAAGGGGCGAGAGACGCAAAAGATAGATACAAGACAGAGTCCGGTGGCGTCTCTTCAAGTCTCTTCTTTATTCTCCTCTCTTCTTACTTCCTACTTCCTACTACTTCCTACCTCTTACTACCTCCTACTTTCTACCTCCTACTCCTCACTCCTCAATAGAAAGGAAATCCGGGTATTTATACCCTTTACCACGTGACTTGCCCTCGTGGACAATCTCAACTGAAGCCACTACGTCACGTGCCTTGTAGCCATGGATACCAGGAGCACCTGGCAGCTGGGGGCACTAAACAGTGTAACAAGATGTTTATCAGAGTGCACTCAGCTATTGTAGGCTGTTGAAACAAGTCTCTTGTCAGAGTATATGGCTCGAGATGGCTGTAAAGATGATAGCCACTTTCGGCTAAGAGTCGGCTCCCAACAGAAAGCCGTCTTGAGAGTTCACTTGGCAGGGAAAGGAAATATGGACCAACTGATGGCACTGTAAGGGAAATCTCAGGAAGTTGTCTCACCAGAATTGTCATCCCCTTTATAATGTAGCACCTGTGTGTCACTGGGAAATTTCCAGTTTGAGATACAGTTCAGTTTATGTGGCTAGTGCATTCTTTAACTGGGTACCAATAAAGAAACCATTGAAACCTATCTCTATCTCATTTCCCATTTCCCCAAAAGACTGATATTTGTGTTTGATAGCCGTAAGATCAAGTAAAGGCTGCAAAGATGGCTCAGAGGTTAAGAACACTTGCTGTTCTTCTCAGGGGACATGGGTTGAGTCCCCAGCACCCTCATAGTGATTGTCTGTAAATCCAATTTCAGGGGATCTGATAACCTCTTTAGACATCTGTGGGCACCAAGCATGTATGTGGTATGTATACACAAATACAGGTAAAACACTCATATAGATAAATACATCTATAAGAAATTTCTCCATAACCCTCGAAACAGATCCCTTAGGGTCTCATCCCACTCTAACACATTTTAATAACTTTAGAGGGTGTGGCTGGGGTGTGGCTCACAGCAGTCCTGAGGATTTGAATCTGACCATTAGCATCACAAAAATAACCAATCAATTAAACAAACAGAACATGTACTATAATCCTGTGCTTCCTTGTTTTTATGTGTAAAATGAGAATAGTAATTACCTGTCACAGTTAGTGGTACTGAGAAGAGTAATTGGTATATTAGGTGAAGTAACTAGAACCAGGCACTGCACTCTGGCCTTAAATAGAGCAATTCTGGCTCAGCATCCACAACACTGGTAGTCCAAAAATGTGTCGTGTGCCTATCTACGACTATCTCTTTAAATCAAGCAGAGGATGCCACTGTGCCTGAGGTTGTAATTTTGTAACTGGCACTCCTACATCTTTGCTATCACACATTTTGAAGACCTTCACCATGCCTTCTCTTACATGTCTGACTATTTCTTTGAGAAAAAAAAGTGTTAACTGAAGTTCAAGGAGAGTAAAAGAACAAATCTAGGCTAAGATATCAGATGTAGAGTCCCTTAAATTTTCTCTGTTGCCAACTAGTTATGATCTTAGGTAATTTATACCCTCCAGGTTCTATATATGGAAACAGAGGGTATAAGTGCTCTCTCTCGCTCTCTCTCTCTCTCTCTCTCACGCTCTCGAGCGCTCTCTGCCTGTCTCTGTCTCTCTGTGTCTGTCTATCTCTCTGTGTCTGTCTCTCAGCCTTTCTGTCTGTCTCTGTCTGTCTCTGTCTGTCTCTGTCTCTGTCTCTCTCTCTCCCTCCTAGCTCGAATTTTCTCTTCAATAAATATGTTATACTTCCTGCCCCTAGAGGCCTTGCAGGTGTGGCTGCTGTGTCACATGTGCAGCAGTAGGTGGCAGAGAGGAGAGAGGCTATGTCTACGCTCAGTGTTCTGACCTACGAACAGCTGAATTATCAGTAGCCTAACATTCCTTGAAAAAAGCGAGCCTGAGATACCCACCAGTCTAGTGCCAGGGGGCCTGGACAGGGAGCTAGCCTGAGACAACCACCAGTCCAGTGCCAGGCAGACCCAGATGGGCTCCAAGGATAGGGAGCAAGCTGAAGACTAGAAGAACCCCGCCTGGGACAGCGGGCCCCAGGTGAGAGTGAGACCAAGAAGCATCTTTCAGCCAGGCCAGACAAGGAGCAAGCCTGAGACAACCACCAGACTGGTGCCATAGGGCTCAGACCAGTCAGAGAGCTACCCTGAGATAACCACCAGTCCAGCATCAGGTAGGCCTAGAGAGGTAGAGCATGCCTGAGATTACCCGGGTAGATACTGCCCGGGTGCCATAGTGTACCAGTGGGGCATAGCATTTCTGAAACAACTCCTGAGATGACCCCAGACACTCAGAAACTCTGGGCGCCACTAAGAGGAGCAAGAAAGTGGTAGAGAAATAGAAGGGAAAGAGAACCAGAAGGATGTGTGTGCAATGAAGAGAGGCAGAACTGGAGACTTGAGGGTAGTAAGGAACAGGCTGATGTGAGGAGCCAGTGATGACACCTGGTGGGATCCTGGCCTGTGCTGCCTCCTGGGGTCATGTCTGGGTTTGTGGTACTGCAACAGCAGGGGTCTGTTAACACCAAAGGCCAGGCAGACATCCTAAGTCTAGGCGCTGCCCAGGGACATGTTGAAGTCTGAGGGTGATGCAGAACTGGCCCCACCCTCATCTGGGCATCATGAGAGAGCTGGCCCTGGAGGCATAAGAGCAGAAGAGCTGATCCCACCCCTAGTCAGCTGCAGTACTCTGGAGATTCGGGACCTACACATGACAGGAATTGTTGGTGAGCTGACCCCAAGGACATAAGCATGGGAGATCTGACCCTACCACTCATCTCCTCTGAGGTGGCATAGACGAGGGAGAGATGGCCTTCTCCTCCCTTACCACCTTCAGCAGGCAGAAGAGCTGGCCCTGGTGTGGGAGTTACAGATGAGCCAGCCTGAGGATGTGAATGCAGAGAAGCCCTGCCTCTTGCCTGCTGGGTGATGGCACAGATGAGGGAGACCTTCCTCCCCTCCTCATTCCTCACCATCTACAGTAGGCGGGAAAGCTGGCTCTGGAGTCATGAGGGTGAGAGAACTGGCCTCCCTCAAGCTGTAACACTTGGAAGAGAGGGCCCTGCACCTTGTCTGGGCAGCAGGGTAGAGCTGGCCCTGGTTTCAGGGAATGCTGGCAAATTAGGCTTGTGAGTGAAAGTAGGAGAGCCATTGGGCTGACTGACCATATCCAGAGCTTTGAGTTGGCACAGCCCAACACCTACGCTATGGATGAATTGCTGGAGTACATGAAGGGGCCAGTCCTACAGATCCAAGACTACAGGATCTCCAAGACACAGAGCAACAACAGGATAGCTGAGAAGAGTCCCAGTGAGCATCCAGTATTGATAGAGCAACAGAAGCCAGAGAGGCCTTATACCAGATGAATGACTCAAGTCAATGAACGTTTGCAAGCAAATAAGTGTAGACAAAAGGATATACTGTGGGACACACTATGACACACTACAGCTACCACAATGAGAACTTTTTCCCTCTTGTTGAGGGGGAGATTTCAAAGGTGGATGAGTGGGTGAGTAGGATTGGGGTACTTGATGAGAGATTCACAAAGAACCAGTAAAACATTTCAAAACATGATAGATGCTTCTTTCTTCTTTTTAAGAATTTAGTTTTATTTTTATGAATGTTTTGCCTCTGTGTGTGTGTGTGTTTGTGTGTGTGTGGTGTGTGTGTTTATGTATGTGTGTGGAACCTGGAGTTGCAGATGGTTGTGAGCTGCCATGTGGGTACTGGGACCCAAACCCGAGTCTTCTGCAAGAGCACCCAGTGCTCTTAACTGAGGAGCCATCTCCCTAACCCCATGTTTTTATTTCATTTAAACCTCAAAATCAAGGTCTGTGTCAAACAAACTAATCAGACGGCATGACTGTTGAGCCAAGAACATGCTAAAATGCATTTTCATCACAAATTGAAGGACATATAATTGACTTTCTTTTGAAAAAAATACACTGGTTTTCTGGCTTAGTGGTTCAGGGCACTGGATGCTCTTGCAAAAGATTCAGGTTCACTTCCCAGCACCCACAGCGCAGCTCTCAACCGTTTGTAATTCCAGTTTCATGGGAAATGACACTTTCTTCTTATCTTTACAGACAACAGGTACCCTTGTGGTACACTGTCATACATGCAGGCAAAACACCCATACAGATAAAATAACTTTAAAAATCAATTTAATAAATTTATACCAATACTAGTCCAATTCTCATTGGAAAATTTGTTCTGGTTTTACCCCAGAACATCTCTGTGAAATCAGAGTTATCACCGAATGAAATTTATCACAGACAAGCAAAGCACTAGACTCGGAAAAGTGACCATAAGCAACAAGCCAATTATAATTTTTAAACACTTTCTCAAAAAAAGATTTATCTTTATTTGAAATGTATGAGTGTTTTTCTGCATATATATCATGAGAAAAGTGACTTCAGAGGCCAGAAGGGGACACACATTCTCCTGGGGCTGGAGTCACAGGAGGCTGTGAACAGCCCTGAGGATGTTGAGGCCTGATCTCTCATCCTCCTCGAGAGTAACAAGGGCTCTTACCTGCTGAGCCATCTCTCCAGCTGCTTTTAAGACAGTTAATTATCTCAAGAAAACAGGCAAGAGTTTACATATGGGAAAAAATGTTTAGTGGGAAAATAAGGGAAAAATTAAATATAAAATAAAAAGTGTCCCAAAATTTGACCCAAAGCAAAAGTTAAAAGAGGCTTTCCAGAGAAATAAAAGATGGGTGTGGAAGCTTGGTACAAAGGCATAAATGAAAGCCACACAGAATAACTACATAAGCAGTCAGTGGAAGGGCAGGAGGTGTCGTCACCTGACAGGGCACTTGGTCCATGTGGGAAATAGCCTAGCTCAATTCCCAGCACCATAGCTCCACCTGAAAAAAACAAGAGGAGTAAACTAGAGCCAGAGATATCAAAATATGTATCATGAAGAGCAAAACAAGAAAGCTGTTCTCCGTTAAAGAAACCTCAAATGAATAAATGCACAGGCCTTGCTGGAACCGCGGACTGTAATAATTTTGTGATTTGGGAAGAATTGGGGAAATTTGGGTGTAGATTATAGATACTGCATTGCTACACTTTCTAAGAATAATAAATAACAGTATTGTGGTTATGCATATTATATACCTAATATATATATTAGATAAATAGGCAGTATTGCTTAATGATATAAGTGGTGTTAAAGGAACAGTAAAGTCCTAGGATGTTTGAGGTCACTGTCAACTAACTGAGAAAGAAATCATATTGTAATAAAAGACAAAGTGGGTCAATCCAAATATTGATAACTGATGATGTTAGTGATGTAAATTCATAAGCAACATTGTACTAGTCTTGGCATGTAGCTGTAAGTTTGAAGTTTTAAAACTAAAATTTTAAGACTGGACGAATGATCTGGTAGTTAAGAATGTTTCTGCTCTTCCAGGGGACTGGAGTGTGGTTCTCAGCACCTATAACACTAGCTCTGGAGGATCCAATGTCCTCGTCTGGCCTCTTCTGGCACATACATACATGTGGCATGCATTTACACACACACACACACACATACACACACTCCACATAACATACCTTTTAAAAAAAACTGAGTAAACTTTCCCAAAGTGAAACCTCTCACAAGGAATGGCAGCACGGTCCTGAAGTCCCAGCACTCAGAACATTGAGACTGGAGAATGCGAGTTCCTAGGCAGTCACAAAGTGAGACTCTGTCCCACAACAAAATACATATATATATATATATATATATATATATATATATATATATATATATATATATTCATATAAGATTTCACTAGCCGGGCGGTGGTGGCACACGCCTTTAATCCCAGCACTTGGGAGGCAGAGGCAGGCGGATTTCTGAGTTCTAGAGTTCGAGGCTAGCCTGGTCTACAGAGTGAGTTCCAGGATAGCCAGGACTACACGGAAAAACCCTGTCTCGAAAAACCAAAAAAAAAAAAAGATTTCACTAAGTAAATTGTGCTAGGCATGGTGTATATGCCTTTAATTCCAGCACTCAGGAAGCAGAAGCAGGTGGATCTATATATTCAAGGCCACCGTGGTCTTAATAGCAAGTTTGGGCCAGCCATGGGTATAGGGTGAGATTCTGTTTCAAACAAACAATAAATAAGGTGTTTACAGGCAAAACATTAAAATCTCCAACTATGTGGCACACTGTTTTCAGAAATGCTCAACATTTGTCCATCCTCCTTCAACAGAGAGAAGAAAGATGCATCTTTTTAAAAACCCTATACTAATTATTGATGGATTCCACAAATAAGAACATGAGCTCTTTGGAGGTTCCTGGTATTCTTCTAATCAGAACCACAGGGTTCCTCTCCTGTGAGTGTGGACAGGAGCAGTTACACTGTGGTATCTATTGGGTAACACTGAGAGTCAAAAATAGGAAGCTCTATATGCAAATTAAACTTGTGGTTTAAAAAAAGAAAAAAAAAGAAAAGAAAAAGTTAAACTTTTTTTTTCAAGTAAGCTAGCCCCTGGGGTGGGGGGCGGAATTTCTTTCCTCAATTGAGGCAGCTGTGTGATTTCTTGAGGGGAAAAGCAAGCAGGAGATAATGTGAGGACAGATACAGTCATTTGCATTGTGTATCTTAGGCAGATAAGGTGGAGAATCGCCTGGTGGGTAGGTAGGAGTCTGTCTCTAAAGAGAAGTAAGGTGTGTGCTTCTCCAATAGTCTAAAAGGTGTAAAGCCATTTTGTATTATGATTGTTAGCACACTGGGTAATGGGTTTCACTGTGAGATTTTCACTCATGGGCACAGTATGTTTGCTCAACCCCTTACCTTCCCTCTCCTCCTTCTTCCATACTCCACTGTCCTCTGGCTCCTACATTGTCCCCTTCACCCTAAATAGTCCTCTTTCTGC